CCTCTCTAAAGTACTCAAGAGCAATGGCATCTCTCTGGAGACTAAGGTGCGCCTGATACAGGCCATGGTCTTTGCAATCATTTGTTATGCATCAGAGAGTTGGACAATGACTAGGGAGGATACAAGGAGAATTGATGCCTTTGAGCTGTGGTGCTGGAGAAGAGTATTGAATGTACCCTGGACTGCCAAGAAAACAAACATTCATCGTAGAGAGGGTTAAACCAGGCTGCTCCTTGGAGGCACTTACATTATTTTTAATATTATTATTATTTACAAGCAAGCAAAACCCTTCCCTTTCTTCTGTCATCGTCCACCCCCCTTGTGACTTTACCTTGAGGTAAAGGTGTGTGCCACTAAAAAGCCCAAGAATCTATTATTTTCCACACAAATATTTTGGACTTTACTCCTGGCCCTGAGTTTTGCAACAAGTCACAAATGGGGACAAGTTCAGACTCAGTCCCTAGCTTTTTTTTTATTTAAACAAACATTCTCTGTTTAGGAGACTTTCTGTTAGATGCCATCTTGCTATGTCTTACAATGAGTCTGAACCTGGTATGTGAGCTGAAGTTTCACTATCTTTGCTTCTAAAGAGTACCCTGATTTCACTTCCTCTAAGACAGTCTTGTTTGTTCTTTTGGCAGTACATAGAATTTTAAGTACTCTTTTCTAATGTTACAAGTCAAAGGCATTAATGGTTGTTTATCATCTTTATTCATTGTCAACTATCAAATGCATAGGAAGTACTTGAAAAGGCTATAGTTTTTTAGCACTTTTGAGAGATCCCTGACAGATTTTTTTCAATGCAATAAGGCTTTTAATTTCTTGACTGCTGTAACCACAGATGTTGACTGTGGATCTAAGTAAGATAAAAGTATTGACAACCTCAATTTTATCTACATCTATTATGATGTTTCCCATTGGCCCAGTTGTGAGGATTTTTGTTTTCTTGATATTGAAATGTAATCCTTTGAAGGCTATAGTCTTTGATCTTCAGCAAGTGTAGTTCTCTTTCAGCAAGTAAGGTTGTGTCATCTGCATAACACAGGCTGTTGATGAGTCTTCCTCTGATCCTGATGCCACATACAGTCCTGCTTTTCGAATTATTTGCTTAGCATACAGATATAATAAGTCTTGAGAAGGGATACAGCCCTGATGCACAGTTCTCTTGATTTTATGCCTTGCAGCATTCCTTTGCTCTGTTCAGACAACACCTTCTTGGTCTAGGTGTAGATTCATGAGTAAAATTAAGTGTTCTTGGAATCCACATTCTTCTCAATGTTAACTATAATTTGTTAAATTTGTTATAATCCAATGCCTTTGTGTAGTCAATAAAACTATTGACCATACCAAAGAAATAATAATAAATATTATGGCACCAGCAGCCAGGAAATAAAAAAACGTATTGCGATGGGAAAGTCTGCTGTTAGGGACCTCTCTAAAGTACTCAAGAGCAACGGTGTCTCTCTGGAGACTAAGGTCCGCCTGTACAGGCCATGGTTTTTGCAATCACTTGTTATGCATCAGAGAGCTGGACAATGATCAAGGAGGATAGAAGGAGAATTGATGCCTTTGAGCTGTGGTGCTGGAGAAGAGTATTGAATGTACCATGGACTGCCAAGAAAACAAACAGATTCATCCTGGAGAGGGTTAAACCAGGCTACTCCTTGGAGGCAAGGATTATGGGGCTTCGTCTGACATACTTTGGACATGCTGTAAAGAGAGACAGGTCTTTGGAGAGGGACATCATGCTGGGTAGAGTAGAGGGACAGCGCAGGAGGGGAAGACCCTCTATGAGGTGGATTGATTCAGTGACTGGGGTAATCAGGATGGGTGTGTCAGAGGCAATGAGATTGGCACAGGATAGAGCACGGTTTAGGGCTGTTGTACATAGGGTCACTATGAGTCGCAAACGACTCGACTGCACATAACAACAACAACAAAATATAGAATATAGAATATAGAATAATTAAATTCTTATAATAAGTAAAATAAACAATAAAACTATTGCTGAGATCTTTGGAACAAGAGTTTCTCTGACTTTCCAGCTAATGAACTTTTCCTCTTTCAAGTTAAAAAATTAAAATAAAATACAGATATATATCCTTCTAGTATTCTCTGATTTCAGCCAAGGCTCATCTGACATCAGTAATGATATCTTTGGTGCCATGGTCTCTTCTAAATTGAGCCTGAATTTCTGGAAGTTCTGTATAGAACTCATCTGACATCAGTAATGATATCCCTGTAGAGATTCTCTGTAGAATGATATTTATTCTCTGTAGTTACTCATCTGACATCAGTAATGATATCTCTGGTGCCATGGTCTCTTCTAAATCGAGCCTGAACTTCTCTGTAGAGGTAATGTCCTAGCTGTTTTTAAATAATCTTCAGCAAGGTTTTGTTCACTAATGATATTTGTCAGTCCTGTTTTATTTTTTTAATTTTATTTTATTATTTTGTGTGTGTGTTGTGTGTACCGTCAAATCAGATCTGACTGGTACAGGAGGAGATGGTTCCTCCTTCTCCAGCAGAGCATCTGGTGGATTTGAACCCTGCACCTCTGGGATTGCAGTACAACTTCTTGCCACTAGGCCACCAGAGCTCGCCTGTCAGT